ATATGCGATATAAATATGTAAAGAGAAAGAGGAAGCTAGTTAGGCTTCGCTTACATTCTTCATAATAAAGAGAAATAACCCCAATTTGCTTAAGTTTCACATAAAATTCGACCCGACCTATCTACCCTTAATAGATATGGTTACAAGGGTATTGAGTTATATGAAGCAATTCAATTAACCACCAAGTCCCTAACCAATAGCGTCTTTCATGTCTTATAATAATTCTAAAAAGTGTTTGTACTTTATTACTAATAAGATCACGTAAAGTTAAATGGTCCGAAAATACTTTATTATCTTCTTTATATTTTATTACGTATATTACTGCAAGTGATACGAAAGGTATACGTAAATTATATAGCATATGCAACCTAGATTCCTCAATTAAACATTTTGCAGATCCAAGTTTATTGTATAAAGAAATCCAACTTTCAAGATAATTATATATTGATTCAATATCTTGAAATGAATAAGTAGGTAATTCTTAAGATAGATTATAACTGACTTTATTACTATTATTAGAAAATAGGTGATCTAAGTTAGTTGTAAGAAAACTTTCAACTGAGTTAGTCAAAAAAAGTTAATTATCGTATATAATCGACTCTTCTTGAATAGTATTCATATAAGTTTGTTTTAGACACTATGTCTTAATAATAATACTATCTGTATCTAGAAAATTATTTAATATAATTAAAATTTTAATAAACTTAAATTAAATATATATTAAAACTTACTATTTGGGTCTGAATCTTCTGCAGTATTTTTATTTAGATTATCTGATAATGATTCTGTATTATTTTTATTTAAATTATCTGATATTGATTCTATATCTGATGCTAATTCATCATCTGATATGTATATAGGACTTGTTATATTTTTGGTTGAATGTTCAAACATATCTGATATAATTAATTAAAAAAAATAATTAATTTTTATAAATTAATAAAACAGTATTGATAGATATGACAAACCATACTTCTTAAATTTAAAGTCAATAAGCGATTTGGAATTAAATCTGATGAGGAGGTATCTTTATAATCAACTAATATATGCTATAGAAAAAGTAAATTCGTGATATTTATAAAAAATATTTGCCAGTTATTTTCAACTATTTCAAAAATAGTGATAAATTAAACAGAACAAAAAAAGTTATATTTATATACTGTTTGTTTTAAAACTTGATTATTTTCATAAAAAGTTTTTAATGCGTTACGTTTTAAACTGTTATACTAATTATTACCCAATGTTTTAATACTTCTTGCTTCACCATATTATTTAGTAATAAACATTTGTTGCCAATAAATATACTTTACTGGAATAGTAACACCAAGAACTTTAGTTTCATCATGCTTTTAATTAAAATTATTAAAATTTAAATATTAAAATTAATTATTTTTTGTATCTATTAGTATAATTAACTAAAATTTATTAATACCTGATTAGTGAAATTACTACTTGATGAATTATCTATTTTATTATACTATTAATTGAATAATTATTAGAATATATTGATATATATTAATAATTTAATATAAATAATTAAAATTTACTTGAACAAGTTTATTTCTACTTAATGAGATTATATGCTTATTAGATTGTAGATTATTAATATATAATTTATCTAATTATTACTATTTTCACTATTTGGCAAATTGTAATCTAGTATATCCAAATTTACAATCCTGATAGAGTTGTCAACTAAAATAATAGTCGCAGTATATGATTCATGATTGAAAAAAATCTTTGAAATATTTCTGTTGTTTTTCTAAAGAAAGTTGATTGCATTGTTTTTGATTTCTTCTGATATATCACAAAAAAATTTTTTTCTCTCTAAAAACATTATAAATATATATATATTGATATGAATATAATTAGACAATTATATTTTGCTAACTTAATTAGGTGTAATTTACTATTGTCTGCTATAAAAAGTTTAAAAACTTATATTGTTGCCAACTAAAGTATCCAGGAGACTGCTTCTTTAACCAACAAATTTTGCTACAATTACTATTAGATTTGTGAATTCTGTAGTAGCATATAAATAATGCTTTAAAAACAAAATCACAACAAACTTATAACAAAAAAAAATTCCAATTTTATTATAATATACTATGTTCTCCAATCATTTATTTCTGCTTGAGCAGGCAGAACTGCATCAAAAGCAGAATTTTGTGCAGATTCTGCTGCTACAGACCCCTAGACACTCTATATTATATAATTATATTTTACTAAATTAATTATAAACTTAAGCAATTATACAGTATATATATTATTTTATAATAATAAGTTTAAAAGTTAACTATATAAAAATCTTACATTTTTGCGATAGTGGCAAAATATTTTATATAAAGTTGTTAAAAAGAAATTTTATAATAAATCTCAAATTTGTTTCTTACTAGTACTATTAACAAGGTATTGATAAGACTTTTTTGATAGAGTAAAGAGAATTAAAAATTTTTTCTATTTTGTCAAAAAGCTTCATTAATACCTCATTAATAGTATATATTAGTAAGAAATAAAATTTGATTTATTATGAAAATTTCTCTTACTGACCTATATTATTAACTAGATCTAGCAGTGTTATCATAGGACAGTTGTAGACAGCAAGTTTGGATACTTTGAACAATTTTGGACAATTAAATAAATTAAAATTACTCAAAATTTTATTAAGATAATTTATATTAATTTCTAAGTAAAATATGTTTAGTACATAAAAAAATATATAATTATATATTTTTTAAACAAATTTATTAATTATTAAAGTTTAGATATACTTTGAATACTTGTAGATACTTGGATACTTGAACATTAGACAGTATCAAAAAAGCCTTTAGATAGTCAAAATGTATAATACTGAATCTAGGATATATTGTTATTATTGTGAAAATATAAGATTTTTACTAAGTAATATTATTATATTATTATAAGTTTAAATCTACTATAATTTTATATCATAATATGTATATTGTATAAATTGCTTATTGTTAGTTATAGAATTTCTTCGATACTTTAAATAGTCATATTGCTTAGAGATACTTATCATAGTAGCAAAGCCCCAAGGCTATATATAATATATAAATGATTATTGAATTCATATTGTAACTGAAAAGTAGCATAGCATAGAATAGTGAAGTAAAGTATTACAAGTATTATATAATAAAGACTATCATAGCAATAAGTTTCAAGGATCTTAATGGCTATAGGATTCTTGATTTTTGGTTTTCAGACCAAATCTTCTACACCTTTTTTTGATTAATCTAAGTTTTGTGTATTTTAGATTGCCAGCACTAGTCACCCCAAATCTACTCTTTTACAATGTTCGCAGATATAAATATTCACAAGAACATGTGATAAATAATAAATCTATTATAGATAATAATAATTTTAAAGTTAGTTAGAATTATCACACCATAATAAATTTA